TCTTTGTGTGAACATTTGGGCGGTGTTATGCAAATCTTCCCACATCGTGACGTAGATATGTGGGGGCGTGTTAGAACGAGCCATTTTAGGTAGGCGTGGTTGACTCTTAACTTTTATAAAGAATATCTCTTTGGATTTGAGACTTTAGTCTTTGCAACGTTACAGATCTTCTTTATGCACCAAGAGCTTGTAACACTCCAAAGAGAAAGAAAAAATTGAAATCGCATCATATAACCCCTTTAATTCATTATTAAATAAGTGTCATTTATTGTTGTTGTTTGTTGTTAACTATTTACCTATGGTATTTTGGCAGAAATTATCATTACTATGGTATTTTTGGTAAGGATATGTTTGACAAAATTTGAAATAAATTTTAAAAAAGCATATTTTTGGTATGATTTGAGGCATTTCTCTCAAGAGCCCAATTTTTAGTCTCTATAGTATTCTATTTTCAGTTTAATTTCTCACTGACTCATTTTATAATACAAGAGCTGTGTTTGGTGTCATTCAGTTACACTATGCTGCGGTCACTGCCCTTCCCTGTTAGTGATCTGACTGAGAACATTGTGACTTCACTCCTGTTTTCCTGCACTTTTCTTCTCTGTGACATGAATCACCCAAAGCCATTTTCTGAGGAACCCCATGCTGTGTTCCCTGTTATGGCATCACACCTCCAGGAGGGACTCCCATCTGAGTCTAAATAGTACGAATACTAAAAAAAAATCATTACCATCAATGGAGGGACAAGCACAAAATGGAGAAGGCTGAAGAGAAGCCAGCCATTTTGTTTGTGATATAATCAGCTACTTGTATGAATAGCAAAGTTGTTAGCAAGGCAGTATTCTTCGTACATTGATAGCAAGGGAGAGTAAAAGCTATTCTTTTTTCACACACTGTGTAGTCAACACTAATTATTTCTTTGTAGAGATAATGACTAGCTGTAGCCCAAGGTTATATCACAGAATGTCTCGAAATGATGCGACTAAAACTTTTAAGCCTCAGACTTCACTGTTCACTCAATGAGGAGGTCAAAAGAGAAGTGATTTGCGGTGTAGTCACAAAGCACTTTTTTTTTTTTATCGTTCAGACTGAAAGCGTCTCAAATTAGCAAGTAAAGTGGAGTCAAAGAAAAGCATGGTAACTGTGTCTTGTTGGCTCCATTCATGCTCTTTTACTTGCTAAAAGCAGCCACAATTTTTGAAGAACTTTTCATGGCAAACACGTTAGTGTGTCATAAGTGATTCTATCAGGTGTCATTTAATTACAGTACACTGTTCAGGTTCATCCTGATGCATTTGAGTGCAGTAAAAACAGTTTCAGCACCTTAATGGATCAAGTAAATTTCAAAAGACGTGATGCTAGCACCTCAGTTTTTTACATTAGAAACTAAATTGCTGGGAGATTCACTTCCCATGATGTTGGTTAGGTTTTTTTCTCCTCAGTCATGTTTGTCTGCCTTTTAGAAATAAAGTTGTCACTAATAATCTGCTTCTTTTTATTTTCCCCTCTACCCTCTTTCTTCCTCCCTGCTCCTCTTTTCTCTTTTTCCCCCTCTCCTGTCTATCACTCTGTCCTTCTCATCCATTTTTCACTGTTCTGCCCTTCCTCCCCTGACATCTGTTCCATTTCAGATATCCGAGACTTCAAATTCATTTCTGAATCGGATGTTGAACAGAGACACCATCACAAGAATAACATATAAGAGTAAGTGGAAAAATATTCTAATGTTGACCATTTGACACAAAATCCAATTTGGTTTTCAAATGCTATAGATTGTACTGACATTTTGCAAGGGATTAAATCATATCAGTTTGTTCAGACAATATAGTCAATATCAGGTGTACCTTCATCAGTTGCTAGAGAAATGATGTAAGCATCACCGTGAGATCTGAGGGTAGCTGTCGGTGAGGAAAGCTGGAGATTTTGCTCTGCTTATGTTTATCATGACATCTCGAGGCAGTGCTGACTCATGAGGAGCATGAGAAAATAAATTACAGAGGGATGTTATGCATTCATGTGTCCAGAACCGCTGACTCATTTACTATTCACTACGTAGTGAATATCACATAGGCAGGATTGAGGTGAATTGAGTGCATTCAGACACGATATATAAGAGGTTACCTGTCAAATCCCTACTTGAAATCAGATCTGACCATTTAGACTGATAAACATTATATTCAGATTTTAAACCACACAGACTACCATTCAAAAGTTTGGGGTCTGTAAGGCTGCTTTTTAAAATTTAAAAATACAGGGAAAAATAGTGACTGTACATTTTAAAATAACAAATTTTCCTGTGATGGCAAAGTCAAATTGAGACACACCAAAAAAATTACCTTTTGCTGCCTCTCTGAACATGTGAAATAAGCATAAAAGTATAATTTCCAGAGTTTTTGTCTTAAAGTGTTCTGAGTTTGCCACACCAAAGAAAAATGTGTTATTAACTACCCAGCCAAATTCGAATGATAAAAAACAACATTAAGTAAATAAAATAAGGTATCAAAATCTTGAAAAAAATAACAGGGTTTCCGCGGGGTCTTAAAAAGTCTTAAATTTAGTTGTATCAAATTTAAGGCCTTAAAAAGTCTTAAATTGTACAATAAAGTCTTAATTATGATTTCAAGAGGTCTTAAATTTGGGTATGGAAAGACCAGAATTGTGATATGGCTGAATGTGACGATTAAACTTCAAAAAAGGCTAAATAAACATGAGCGCTGCATGAAAGTCCGGTGCTGCGCTGCTTTGTGTTCTGCCGTTACGGGGAAACAGTGATATTTCTACCAAACGCGCCACCTGCTGGCAGAGAATGAGCATTTTTAAAAAGCCTATTGTTTTGTTCAGAGTTCAGACCAATGCGAAAATCTTCTGGACGTTGATCGTGTAAGGACCCTTGCTGTCTATGGGAGGGTCAGAGAGCTGTCAGATTCCATCAAAAATATCTTAATTTGTGTTCCGAAAATGAACGGAGGTCTTACGGGTTTGGAATGACATGAGGGCGAGTAATTAATGGCAGAATTTTAATTTTGGGGTGAACTAACCCTTTAAATAAACATGAGCGCTGCAGGTTCAGCTGCTTTGTGTTCTGCCGTTACCAGGGAAACAGTGATATTTCAACCAAATGCGCCACCTGCTGGCAGAGAATAAGCATTTTCAAAAAGCCTGTTGTTTTGGCCGATTTTCGCATTGGTCAACTCTGAACAATGTTTTTACCCTGCAAACACGCAGAGCTTTAAATATGAACTGGTGGATCGATAAGATGTCAATGCATTATAAAAATCTAAACAGTAGGGTGTGCGATATATATGGTCTGCGACAATATCGTAATTGTTGTTGTAACGATGTGCGATTCGACATTATCGAGTACATCGCAAAAAGCAAACAAAACACATCTACAGAGTGCACAGTCTGCACACATACATTAGAAATTAATTACAAGAGTGCCGTTTTTTTCTCCAAAAGTCAACATGATTACAAATGTGATATTGATTTTATACAACAGTTCAATAAACAAGAAGTTAAGAGACTTACGTTTTAGACACCGTATTTCCTGCTTTTGCTCTATTTCGCCAACAAAAACAGTACTGTTTTGCATCTCTGAGCAACACGACAGCGTTTCCTTCCTGGATGAATCAAGCGTTTAAATGATTCAGTTCAATCGCAATGACTCACTTATTAACAGTGACTTGCTGCCACCTACTGGCGGATTTAATTTCACATTTACAGGATCTTTTCATTTTTTTTTTTATTATTTCAAACATCAGTTTTCAATGTTTTATATTTAAAATACCAAAACATTATTCATGCATTTGTAACTGCAGGTTAAAGTATTCCATGTCCCCTGCATTAAAGAGTGTGTAAATACATCTAAATGCCACATAAGATGCAGCTTCTGTGTTTCCTCTGCATTGCAAAGATACATTTTGTTGATACTGATTTCATTTGCTTGGTAACAGCCCAAATGCAAGAATTTGACT